CAGAGACCGGTCCACCGTGGACAGACCCAGATCCTCCAGCAGAGACCAGTTCACCGTGGACAGACCCAGATCCTCCAGCAGAGACCAGTTCACCGTGGACAGACCCAGAACCGGCTGCACTGTAGCCTTCCACCTGCAGTCGGAGCTCTGAAAGGGAGCTTCTCCTCTCTGCTCCTCCGGTTTCTGTGTGACACCAGTATATATACACCTAGTATAGAAGTCTATGAGAAAATGACTCTACTTCTCTCTTGATTTATTACCTCAGTAAACATTGTAAACATGAGTTTATGGTCTCAATCTCTAGTTTCAAGTCTTCTTCAATGCAGCATGATGTTCATTTAGTACATTATGGTCCATTTAGAGTCAAACAGACCATAAAGCAGGGGATGCTTTAGGGCGGGGCTACACAGTAATTGACAGGTCTCTACCACAGCGTTGCCTGGTCTGGGAGTTGTTCGTGTTTTCGTCTTTCAACTTTGACTCTTTCAAAATGATTCAGCGTTCAGTTGTATTTATCTCCACCCTCTCGTGGAACTTCTGGTTGCAAAAAACAAGATGGTGACGTCCAAAAACCAAGATGCCAAACTTGAGGCTTCAAACCCGTAGTCCTCAAACCATTGAGTGACCACATGGTGACTACGCCCGCTACCTATATTACGTCTATGTGAGATCCTGAGTGACAAACATCAGTGCAACATCAGCAGCGAGCATCTTTACCAAACAGCTGAAAGTCTGCACAGGTTGGATGGATTATGGTAATGTGTCAGAGGCCAGGTGCATGATGGGAATAGAGATGAGTGTTTCAGGGCCTGTTGGTTAGAATACAAGGCAGATTATGGAACTATGTTCTGGATTTCAGGTTTCCTCCGAAGCTCAGAGACTTAGAGGGTCTTATCTCAAACAGAGTGACTCTGTCGACTTAGTCCTGTTTGTTGTTCCATCAGTGTTTAGTGTGTCTTCTATGTGACCTGGCTGCAGTCTCTCAAACTGTCTGTTTTCTTCCTGTTTGTCTTCATAGCTGTGTCTCTGTCTCTCAGCTCAACGTAATGTGGATGTAACAAGAGGATGTGAAGTCTCTGCCTTCACAAACCCAAACCTCCCTCACCTGTCCAACCTGTCTGACAGAAAGTGCAGCTCTGTGCCAACTTGCCTGCCAGTGAAAACCACGTATCTCCACATGTGTTGATGTAGAATGTTTGTGATGAACTGAAGCATGAAGTGTTCATTTATGTTCCTTCATTTGGAAAATGCAAAGTCACAAAGCTAAGAACAGTTTTTCTATTTAGAGATAGTCACAGTTTGAATACTTCAACCACTTTTTCAGTGTACTTTACTTGTTTCCTGGAAGCAGCATGGGTTTCAAAGCCCAGTTGATAACAAACTGTTTTCATGTTTTCTACAATGATAAAGGTTCTTACATATATCTCTGTTATTTACTCTTTTTTCCATTAAAGGTTTATTGAACAAGTTTAAATGTCCTGTTTTGTTGCTTGGGATGGGAACTTGACTTTGGCCAACAATAACAGACCCGGTAAAAGTGACTATTAAGATGTCAGGGAGCAGTCAAGGCAGTCTACAGACCTGTATAACAAGCAGCTGTGTAGGAAGGCCACTTCCCCTCTGGAGCGCCAACATCACCGCCTTCAGTCAGAGTTTCAACTGTTACCCTCAGGCTGCATTTTAAAGTGCCTGTTGTGAAGCCCAAGAAATGTTTCCTTTGTCTCTGCTGCCATCCACATGTTGAACAGCAGATGGTAGCCTATCATATGTGTTTATATATTGCTCATTTGCACAGATAACTTTAGATTACTTGTATTTCAGAAGCTCCTGCTAAACCACTCTGTCGACTTTGTCCTGTTTGTTGTTCCATCAGTGTTTAGTGTGTCTTCTATGTGACCTGGCTGCATTTCCCTGAACCCCCAGCAGCTTCACACACATTCAGCCTGTGCTGGTCATCCAAACTACAGAGAGCTACTGGTGTGTGTGTGTGTGTGTGTGTGTTTGCTCCAGGGTAAATAGCGTCTGATTTGTACTGTGAGTCTGTAGCCTTCAATTCTATTTTTTCTCAATGTCACACACTGTGTGTGTGTGTGTGTGTGTGTGTGTGTGTGTTTGACGTCAGGTTATAATCCTGTCAGGCTCAGAAACCTGAACTGAACTGACATGAACAACAGAGAGAGCAGTGGACGACAGTCTCACTCTGTCTCACTCTCTCTCTGGCATAACCATGGTAACAGGCATGTCTCCGTCACCACGGCTGCTGCTCGGTCAGGAAACCGGCTGCCTCGGTGCTCTTGAGCAAACGGAGCCTCAAAGGGAGGTAAGAAGAAGAACAGCACTCAGCTGCCATTTATGATCATCAGAGCTTTTATTACATTTGTAAATAAATATTATTAATGAATCTTGAACAAATGCTTTAAAAGGTCTGTGTATTTGCTCTTTTGATTTACAAAATGTACAAGGAGAAAACAATACTAGTGTGTAAAAATCTATCTGAAAACCATAATACCAAGATGCACATCCATCTAAAGACTGCAGACAGACACTTCAACTATCACCAAAACTGACATAAATGAGGTTTTAGACTCTCCGACAGAAGATGTAAGACTAGACCCTAAAAGTGACAGAAATATCCAACTAGAGAGCTTAAACCCCAAAGACAAATAAAATAACACGTATAAGAACACGAACAAAGAGCAAGAGGAGGAAAACGTCATCAGTAGTGATCAGAATGACAGAGGCTCTCTCCTCTCTCGGTCTCTAATGAGTAGTTTCAGTCTTGTGCTGTAATAAAAGGTTTGTGAGACACAATATGCAACCTCCTATTCTGCTGCTGTCACGCCGCCTCTGTATACATGTGTGTGTGTGTATACGTGTGTGTGTGTGTGACAGATATTACCATATCAATGGTTCCCTCCTGATAGCTTCCTCCCACTTCTTCTCTCCCTTTCTTTTGGGACATAATTGTGGTTGATTATCAGAGGAGCACTGTTATCAACACACACACACACACACACACACACACACACACACACACAGGAGAGACATGTTGAAGCAGCAGAGAAACTCGTCTGTCGTGGAGAGAACAAAATAAACCGGTTTGCTGAACAGAATTCTGAAATAAAAGAGGAAGAAGGTAGAAAATGGCAGACAGACGGACCTGGACTAACATATTTGTTTGGCCAGTAGGGGGCAGCATGTGTGTGCGTGTCCACATGATAAATGTAAAGCCTGGTGCACCCTAAGCAGTGTTTCCCTAACTCCTTTTTCTAAAGACTCACTTCTTCAGAAAGAGAAAACCATCGGGACCCAAATTAACAGCAGGCCTCATATATAAATCAAGAGAAGAGCGTTCCTGACTTCTTATTATGTCATTTTATCACCTTGAATAGATGGTCCAAACATTTCAAAGACATTTTTTACTTTACGCATGTGTTATGAACATAAACATGTCTTTAATACTTTATAAATAAGACCAAATGAATGCATTTAGCTGGTGTTAACCTGCGTTTTTAGCTCCTTCACGAGGTTTTGAAGCCTTGAGTTTGACATTATGGCCGTCGCCATCTTTGTTTTTGACCATCACCATATTATTGTTTTGGACGTCGCCATCTTTGCTTTGGAAGTCGCCATTTTGGTTTTTGTAAGTTGCCATCTTGGTTTCTGAATGTCGCCATCTTGGTTATTGGTTATATATGCTCGAGAAGACACTTTTTTTGTTGAAATTCAATTAACTTTCATGAAGTGAAAACACACTGGGAAAGGATTAAAGTTGTCAAACAGAAACACGGACAACTCCCAGACCGGACAACACCGTGGTAGAGACCTGTCAATCACGAGGTAGCCCCGCCCTAAAGTATACCCTGCTTTCTGGTGTATTTTTTTGTCTTTGACATCCAACAACATACCAGTTTATAAATGAGACAAAATCACACAGCATAACATATCTCCTATAACACACATAGGTTTGTCTCCACTCACATGGCAGAATACATTGACTATATTTAGTCATTCAGCTACAACGCTGTTGAAGTAAATTCATTCTCTCTCTCACTTTTCCTGTAAATGTGTGAATATGTGTCTCCAGTGTGTGTGTGATTGAATATAATTGGCTCCGGCAGGAATTCACCACTTTGTCGACTTCCTGCAAAAATTGACAACTTGGCAAAAAAAGAAAAGCATCTCCAAGCAGCAACAGACTAACCGACCAATCACGCGGCCGCTTGCCGCCAATCGGCAGGTTTTATTTCCCACTAACGTCCCAAAGACGGACAGGTGACACAGACAGACTCTCCTCCCAATTGAAGTCTCATTGTGTCAGCAAGGAATAAAGTTTTCTGCTTCATTAGGTTGTCGCCCCATTTGTCCAGTAATTAAATATTAATTAGCCCCGCCCCTCTTGTTATCTGGCTCATCTGATTGGTCGTTAGTGGTGTCAACATCAGTCTGATTGTGGAGGTCGGACTGTAACGAGGAGCTTTAAACAGATTCCTCCTCTCATCCATCCATCAAGGTTTTGACTTCTCTCGGCCAATCAGATGACTCCGTATGTCGCCACGTTAGAACGTCGCCACCAATCACAGAGCACATCCATCACTGTAATGAACACTGCTGTGTGTGTGTGTGTCATTTCAGTTCATGTGTCACAGTCAAAACTGCCAGAACACACACACACACACACACACACACACACACACACACACACACACACACACACACACACACACCTAAACACACTCACACACACACAAACGTGTTTTGCTAGCAAACTGAGGTCTGCCAACACTTCAGGTTTGTTCAAACACCAAACTCAATGTAAAAAATTCAGTTTTTATTGTATTTTTTATTCTTTCTATATATATTTATTCT